GAATGCCTTTTGTATCCGTCCAGAAGCTGAAAAAGCCGACTTGAGCCTGCTTACCCAGCAACCCGGACAATTGGAAGGAAACGCTGTGCATTTTGTGAAAAATACTTTTTGACTGGTAATTTTCAATGCAGGGTCATAAAACCAGTCGCAGCCATAAGAAATGTTATGTGCTAACTTCTACTCTTTACTCGCACTTTGCTTTCTTCTCTCATATTTATGCCTTGTCGCTCTTTATGTAACTTTGCCTGTTGATCTTCAACCCTTCTGTTCTATTCTTGATTGGAGAGGAAGTTGCACATATTTATTGAAGCAGAATTCAATGCTGGGCTCTAGGTGCGAGTTTCACACCTGCATGTGGAATCTAACAGAAAAAGTTGAAGGGCCCATAAATTATTTGGAGAAAGTCGAAGGACATATCTAATAAGCCTATAGATTAGCCCAATAAACCACCCAATAAATCACAGGAAATGAGTCAAGTCTGCGAATAAAACTTCCTCAAAGTCAAAGCATGTCCTGACAACGGCATCCCGACCGCAGCAATGTTGCAGAAGCGTAGCGCACACCATCTGGTTCCCCTCCAGGTTAACATTGTTAGCTGTCTTTCAAAAAGAAACACAAACACGGGGAACCTGCTTCCACTAGTTAATGATGTTGGGAGATGTTTTTCAAAGCAGACATTTTGGCTTGTCGGAGCAGGAGAAGCTCAGCTGCGCTGGTATTATTGATATTATTAAAACTGACTCATTTAGATGAGCATGTTTCAGGGTCCTGGTATTGGGCTCCCTCACAGTCCTGGCTGGAAACTAGATGGAACTGAGCCTTCATATACAGTATATCATTTCCTAATTAGTTAAGAGAATAAAACATACTAAATAGATACATATGAAAATGTTAATTACACATTATATTAATGTATGGTACAATATGTCTAAGCATTTAAAAGAATGCATTACAACGTGTCTGTATGCTATGATCCTTTCAAGAGTCTTACTCCACTACACATCAAAATGAAGTATGACCAAGTTGCACACTGAAATTTAAAGCTGGACATTCGATCAATCATTGATCAGTAAATCACTAATCGCAGAGACAAATTGTTGCTCATTAAAGCAGCCGGAATCACACAGTAACCAGGTATTATTTCCTCTCTGTGCATTAAAAACCCAGAGCTCCTAGTCTGACCGTATCTGAGAGGAGCTGAGAGGCCACTGGTTTGTCACAAACTGGGTAGAATAAACTACATTTGACTAGAATGCATATCAGTTGTTCCTGTTACTGTATTCTTCTTGTGTTCCTGTCTCCCTACAGGAACCTGCCATACATGTTGGACCTTATTTGGGCTTTTGCTTTTCATGATCGCCATTGGAGTCCCTGCATTGTGGTACTCGTATAAAACCGGGATATTTCTAAGGTACCGAGTACAGTAGTACTGCACACACTTAAGTTTAATATACAGTACGACTGCTAAGTATATAAATGTATATTTTATATATTATGGAAATCTTTTCTTGTGTGTTAACTGGGGACAGGAGAGGAGAGGACACACATGGCGGGAGGTTGAAGGTCCCAACAGCTTCTAGCACACGTGAAGAAGCAGCAGCAGCAGAGCTACAACCTGAGGTAGAAGACACATGTATAATATTTAATTTGTTAGAGTGCATTCACACTCTGTTTTATTACCCTCAAGTTATTAACCTTATTATTACAGGTTTTTTATATTATGCCTTAATATAAACTACAACAACTATCTCTGTTATTTTGTATAAGTGTTTGTTTACTGTATTACAGCTGTTTTTTTCAGTTTCGTGCCTTTCTTAAATGTTCTTTCAGCAGATATGTTAAAACTCTTTGCAGACCCATTTAGAATTAAGTGCATGATTTTAATAAAATGTCTCAAATTGTCTGCCATAGGCATCTCATTGATATGCGTGGAAGCAACAAGCTGGAAGACAGTTAGCTTATTGTGCAGGCCGCTAACATTCCTGACGCAGCTGGTTACTGAACAGATGCAGCTCTACAAGACAACATCTACTGCTAATATCAATGATGCCATTAAATGCCATGCAACAGAAGTAACAAAATGAAGATTGAAAACTGTAAGTACAGTTGTCAAGCAAAAGTTGTAACAGTGTTATCTATTAGGGCGTGGCTTTAACCGTTTGTGGCAGCTTCATCATTTACAACATGTTTTCCCACCAACAGCATTAACTGCTGATGATAACAGGATTATGAAGCATGTTTTCATGCACACAAGAAACTAGGTGACTGGCCAAGAAATGATTCATGAGAAATTTGAATAGAAAAACTTGAGATTATGGAATGAAAACCTGCGAGTATCGTGAAAAGAACACGTGCAAATAGACAAAACACAGATAAATTAAGCAACACATTTCTCTACTTGCGTTTGTTTTCACTAATTGCAGTGCTTCTAAATTGGTGAT